ACCGCAGAATCAACACTCCGTTGTTTCCTCTTGGCAAGGTACGAGCCAAAGACATCGTGTCCCGTTAGTATTTACGTGAGCCGAAAAGACAACGCTCCATGCTCACGCCCTACCCAATCAGGTAACCGCGAACCCAGCACGCGGACGATTTCCCCCCCGGAAAGTTTCTGGCCGTTCTCGACCCGTATCCGCCAAAGCACGAGGACTTTTTCTCGTACCTTCTTTACGAAGCGCGTCCATCCTCGATCTTCCCCGCGCGAAATAGAGAATCAGTCTTTCTAACGCAACAAGATCGAGGGAGGGGTCCCCGACAGAATGCAAGCAGCATCCGCGGCTACGTCCCTATTGGTTCTGTCTATATCTTGTTCTCTTTTTACTCTATTACAATTATGAATCAGTCATCATAGAACTTTTTCCTCAGAACTATTTTAATACATATTTTTTTACAATTTCCCCATTTCATAATTTTCCCTCATGCATTTAATCCTTAATTTACGCACAATATACAAATTACAATTTTGTACCCATAAACTTTAGTAATCTTAAGGCAGTTAAACTTTTCTAATCTTAATTGAAATTTTACACTAAAAATATGGCAAAATGTGTTCAAATGTGTCAGGCAAACATAAGATAAAAGGAGGTAAAAGTAAAAAAAAATTCAATCAATGAATTCACACTTAAAATCAGGAGTACAAATAAAAAACAAATAATATAAAAAACTAATTATATTACAATAAATTAAACTAAATTACAAAGCTTTTGATAATTAAAATTTATAACTAAATTGTTAAATAAAACTATTAAAATAAATTTAAATAAGTTGACATGACGTCAATGCATTTTGTTAACCCAGGAGAAATGCATTTGGGGGCCGGGAGTTACTGGCGTGCTCCTGTAATCCAGCTACTTGGAGGCCGGGTGCAGCGGATGACTCCGATCGTGTAATTCGGATCTTACTTGTTGCGCATTGTTTTAAAACGGTCGACGGGACACCTGACCCAGTGTTTCCGCCGGCCAACAGAGTATTTAGGGATTTGTTCCCGATGCGCGGCGGTTGAGAGCCGTTTTCCCCGATCGCAGACGAAGAGTCAGACCTGTACCTTACCAACCTTCCGGGAGAAAAAGAGTGTGGGGCTCGGCACTTTTCTTTCAGGGTTCATCATTCTGCCCGGGAAAACGGGGATGCGAGCGGAAGGACGGCGTGTAGATCTTCCTGCGGGAGATGAATGGGACACTCTTCTCGCGGGGGATCGACTCGTCTCCGGAAACTCGTCATTCTCGGGGGGTGGTTCGCATGCTTAAAGACAGTGCGTGCGATTCATTCCAACGGCAGAAAGAAGATACGAACAAAGATGAAGATCGGAATGACGACGGATTCGACGATGACGACGACGTCGGAGTCCGCACCGGTCGGATTCTCGCTCTTCGAACTGCAAGAGCCAATCGGACGACGGCAGGGGCGAAACGCGGACGGACTGCGGGGGATGTTTTGTCGGCCCGGCAACCTCAGAACTTCTCATCGCCTCCGGAAGCTCAACTTCGTCTCTGCGGGGAGGCGGAAACGACGTAGCAGGTCGGTACCGTTTCCCGAGGTACGAGGGAGGAAAGGATTCGTCCCGGTACTCCGAGTCGGGCTCCGGGTCTCTTACTCGATTACGTCGGGGAAAGATTCGTCCCGGCTTTGGTGCGTCGGCGATCTTCGGGGTGGTCGGGGTCTGGCAAACTTCGGTCGTCGCGGAGTCGTCGAGGGGGGGAACGGGGATTAATGTTTTTGATTTTCAGGTTCATGTCTTCGATCTTCTCCCGGAGCGATGGCAGCGGCAGGGGCGCGTAGGTGAAGGAAACGGGCGGGCCGGCCGGGAGTAGCGAACCCGTCCGGGTCGTTCGGTTTCGGAAGCTCGCGACTCCTGTGGCGGAGGCGGGAGCGATGTGGCAAGTCGCGAACGTCTTCGCAAAAATGAGGGTGAGGGCGCACGGCGGCGGCGGGCGAACACACACATACACACACGTCTTTTCTTTCTTCTCGTGGGTCGGCGACCCCGGTCGATTCCTCTTCTGCCCCCTTTCTATTCCCACACCGTTAGGGAGGATGCGATCAAGTAACTTTTTACTTTAATCTTTTACCCTTTTCAGGTGACGTGATAAGTCTCAATCCCCAGCCGAGGGACCGGAAAACACTCCCGAAAGGGGGAAAGAGAGGTGCGTTCTCATCTTCGAGGTGGAGACGGAACGGAGATTAGGGCGGACCTCCCCAAAAGCGATCATGTGGAACGGCTAACGTTCTGACCTACCGGAGTGGGGAGACTAAAATGTAGGTTATACTCCCACGAGCGTCTCCCCCCTTTCCATACAGGTCACGCTATAGCGACATTCCCAGGAGTTTTAGTGGGTGGGGGTCTCCGTTTAGGCTTTCTTTCGATTCCAAACCGATCCCCACACTCCCCCAGGAGTATGACCCGCATTTTAGCCTCGATCTTCTCTCTCAAAGCCGGAATCATCAGATCTACATTCGCTAGGATGGGAGCGAATTCCTCCGGCGTAGCCGTTGCAGAGATCCACTCCATCTGATTGAGATTTTTTTCTCCCAACGACAATCTGGGAGTCATTCCCGAGGTTTCACTTTCGGTCCTGCGTCCCAAAATTACACATAAACCATTACATATACATTCTTAGAACAAAAAACCTTTCCGATTGTCTCTTTCGGTCCGGCTTCACTCTTTACAATAATTTCAGCTTTATATGAATAATGATGATGTACATTACAAAAAAAAAAAAAATTCATACATTCATCTACCGCCATCGCATTTTCCTTGCTTCCGCTTACCCGCTTTTAGGCGGTGAATTCCGAGCGTTTCACGCTCGCGTTCACGGTTCTCCTTCTTCCGGATAATCGCTAACGCCACACCACGCAGTCCAAGGCGGGAGGCACCCATTCCCACCGCTCGAAAGCCACCCAGCGAAAACGTGATGTAAACGTGATCACTCAAGGTCTCCAGCCCGGAGAGGAACCCACGACGCCGCCGTGGCGGAGGAGATCATGAGGTCAATCGCCGACTCGCCATTGACCTTCTCGCAGATTTTAGCGCCCTTCGACTTGTGAATTATGAAGTGTTGTGTGTCCACCCACTCACGCAGCAACCGCCCCCTTGGATAAGTAGCACGTCCCGAGCACGAGGCGTGCTTAGCGTTGAAATCTCCGCATATGAGAACGGGTCACTTACTCTTTCTGAGCAAGCCGACCTTCTTTTTTTTTTTTTTTTGAGATGACAGGAGAAATGCAGATTTACGCACTAACCCCTTCAAAGAGGGAGTGGGGGGCTCGGTATGGAGTGAAAACAGCCTAACCGTGGGATCCATACCAACTAAAACTCTTGAGCATGTCGCAATAGCGTGGCTTGTAAGAGGACGAGGGGAGGCGTTCGTTGGAGTTAAACCTACATTTCAGTCACTCTCCTCTTCGGTAAGCCAGAACGTTGACAGTTCCACACGTTTGATTGGTGGGAGATCCATCTTAGTCTCTCTTCCGTCGTCACCTCGAAGACGCATCTCCCAGGAAATTTGGCAGGTCCCTTTCGGGAGTGTTCTCCAGTTCTTCGCTGGGGAGAAAGGGATGGAAAACTCGCGTGTCTTCTGAGAATGCGGTCGGGATGAGGATAAAGACTTATTAGCGTCGTCTGAAAAGGGTAAAAGGTAAAAGTTAAGAGTTAGTTGATCTCATCCTCTAAGTTAACTTCGTCGTCGTAATCCGGTACTTTATTTTCACTTTATCACACACTTTAACTGTACAACCTTTTTTTTTTTTTTGTTATGCACTATTACTAGGTTTTCAGACGGCGCTTCTTCTGACTGCTGTCTTCGTCTTCGCTTTTCTTTTTTCTTTTTGTTGACCGGAGCAAACAACGACGTACTCCGGGCTTTTCCCGCACGGGTTCGAGGTCCTCTTTCGTCCGCAGAACCACTTCCGTAAACTGCAAAATCGCGGACCATTTCCAAGGTCCGCGAATCAACGCGTTCAGAAGACCGCGGATCGACAAGTCGGGTCCGATGTCCTCGACCAGCCATTCCTGTATTTCTCCACGCGGGTGCTCGACGTCGTTCTCGGACACACCGCAAAACCAACACTCCGCCGTCTCCTTTCTGCCGATGCACGTCAAGTACGCCGTGACCCGTGAGGACCTGAGCGAAACGATAGGTCAAGACTCCGTAACCCCCCCGTCACTCAGTTCCTCATTCAGGGGCCAAGAGCGACGACGATTTCCTCGCCGTACCGTTTCCCCCCGTCGTTAAAACGCGCCTGTCAGGTGTTAACCGTTCGAGCACGAAGTTCTCTGCGATGACGATCAGTCCTCGGTCCGCCGCGACCCCGTTCGTGATAGAAGACGAGTTTCTCCATTGCTAAGAGGTCGAGTGGGGGAGTGCCCAACAGAAAACAAGCCACCTACGTCGCGACGTCTCCGTACGCCGTCGCCACCATGTTCAGAGACGCCCTTGGGAGTTGGATCGCCTTTTCGAGAAGAGGCCGAGCTTCCGAAACCACTCCGTGGCTCAAACCAAGGCTTTGTACAGGGCCGCGGAGTAAACGACCGTCGCTTATAATCGCCTGACCCTAGCCTGCGGGCCGCGCCGGTTCGGCATCAGGCGCCCTAACGCCGCGCTGACGGCTCGCATCTTCGGCCTAAGGTGCGCCAGATATTGTCCGACACAAAGACCGGAATCGAGAAACAAACCTGAGTATTTGAGCGTTCCCCTAATCCGATTCTTCCGTTATCAATGCTTAATGAGATGTCGCGAGATGGCGGGTTTTGCAGACGATGAAACCCGCACGCTTTCGTTTTCGGCAGAGACATTCGACCTCTCTGCTGGATGGGCTCTACCGTCGCGAAAAGTCCCGTCTGCGAGATCGCGAACCTCCGCTCACCCGCGACCGGTCCCGAGGAGCAATGTGTCGTCGGCGTAGCAAGTCAACGATACGTCTTCGGGGAGAACGGTCCAGGTAAGGACGCGGTCGTATGCGATGTTCCACAGGAGTGGTTCTAGAACCGATCCCTGGGGCACACCGCAGAACACGTTCGCCCTTCCCGCCGTTCCGTCCGGTTTCTCGTACGCGATCTTCCTCTCCGAGAGGAAGGAACCGATGATTGACTTCAAATAATCGGGGACGCCACTCCGTCCCTTATCGTGGACCACAGTACTGAATTGAACGCGCTTTGGATGTCGATCGCGACGTCGCCCCGACGAAGAGTGTTCCGGATTCCGGCGCACACGCGGTCGAGTGCGTTGGTCGTCAAACGGCCCGCCTGGAAGCGGTACTAGTTCGGAGAGAGGTCGTTCTTCCCTCCCCCTGAACGTAAATATTCGTCTATTCTGGACGCGATCACGCGCTCGGTGTCGTTGAATCCCTACCCTGTTTGTCCAGTAACACGAAGTTCGCCTCCTTCTACGGTGTCGGGAATGTCGCCTCTCGGAAGCACGCGGTGTAGAGCGCCGAGAGACGCGCCTACAGCACCCCGGCGGACTCGCCAGAATTTGGTAATGCTTTCAATTCGGGCCCTGAGCCGAGCGCTTCTTCGAGGCCGCGTCGAGGAGGAGGCGAACCTCTCCTTTGTCACGGCGTCGCAAATTTCGTCGTAAGAAAAGTCCGCCGTTGGAAAAGCGTAGGGCGCGATGGGAGGGAAGAGCTCCGCGATCACTTTGGCGAGAAATTCTCCCGCCATACCGGCCGTCAGCGGCCCCGACGAACTCCGCAGCTTCATCGTCTTCTGGGGAGGCCCCACGAATTGAAAGCCACTTCGCTCAAGAGGTCCTTCCAATACGACTCTTTAGAACTCCATATCGCTCGGCGAACCCGAACCCACGAAGCCTTCCAGTCCGCCTTTAAACGCACGAGTACGTCGTCGTTCCCGATGTCCTCGTAATGTCCGCCTTGTCTGACTAATAGTCTTTTTCTGCCGACAAACCGGCGAGGCAGGACTCTTTCCACAACTCGTTTATCTCGCCCGTTCACCAGTACTTCGGCCGTTTCCGCGTCTTTGCGCTAGATTCGGCCCTCTTCATACAGGTGTCCGAGATCCGTCGTAAGTCGTCTCGTCTCGAACTCCCTGCGCTTCTTTCGTGCCTGGAGCAACTTATTCCCCCCAGGCCTCCGCGGCGAGGCACTCGGCGAGCCGTTCTTCGTCGAACGATTTCAGGCTCACCGGGGCGGGACGATGCGAGGCCGTTCGGACGAGGAGGCTGCTCTCTCCGGGCTTCGAGAAGCCTCCAACGAGAACGCGGCGTAGGTGTGATGGCTCAGAGACTCGAGGTCGAAGAGGACCTCCCAGCCACAGACTCGCGCCGCCACCGTGAGATCGATCGTAGACCCGCCGGTGAACCGCGCGCACGTCTTTTCTTCTTTTCTATTGCACACGATAAACTGGCGCTTGTCGAACCACTGCCTGAGCAGTCGGCCGCGCGTGTTGGTAGTGAATTCCGTCTACAACGTGTGTTTTGCGTTGAAGTCCCCGGACATGAGAATCGGACGGACGTTTCCGTCTCCGAATATATCCAATCGCCCGCAACAAATTTTTGAAAGCTCGCAACGAACGATTTAGAGACACGTAAACCAAAACCAAAACTGAGTTTCCTCATCCTGCTATAACGAAGTCTTCCCACGAGACAATTCCCGAGGTCTCGGACCCGGCGCCGAGCTCGGGAAGGAGATTGTGGCCAAGCCGTCCTAGGATACGAACCAAGAACCGGCACAACAACCCCCTCTCTCTGTCGGAACGACGTAAGGGAAAAATTCTTTCTTCTTTTTTTTCAAATAATAAACGTTCGCAAAACGTGATTCGTTCGTACGTTCGGATACACATGAACAATTTTCATTATTATTCTTTTTTTGTTTATTTTTTTATTTTTTATTTTTTTTGATGATGATGATGATGATGACTGATGATAAAAATAAAAGTGAAACGTTATCGTTTTTATTAATTTATAAATCATATCATTTAATAATAATAATAATAATAATAATAGTAATATGTAATAATAATATTAATATTAATAAACATATTTAAACATGAATAACATTGTTTATTTTATTTTGTCCTACGTCATTTCCGTTTTTTTTTTTTTAACCTAAGAGAAATGCATTTCGCACTAAATCCCTCCTCCCGGTAGCAGGGAGAGTGTAAAGAAGACTCAGCCGAAGCCACTCCCCGATGTGCTTCACTGAACTACTTTTCCCGACGAGGAGGGGCGATCGCAGGAGTATGACCTATATATTTTTTTTTTTTTTGATATCCCAAGAGAAATGCAGTTACGCACTTACCCCTCCGAAGAGGGAGTGGGACTCGGTATGGATTTAAAGAAAGACTAACTGGGAACTGGTCGCAATAGCGTGGCTTATATGAAGAGGGGAGGAGACGCTCGTGGGAGTGGTGGAACCTACATTTCAGTCTCCCTTCTCCAGTAAGCCAGAACGTTAACCGTTCCACACGATTCTCTTTGGGGAGATCCGCCCTAATCTTCGTTTCGCCGTCAACTCGAAGATGAGAACGCATCTCCCAGGACATTCGGCAGTCCCTTTCGAGAATGTCCTCCGGTCCTTCGCTGAGGAAGAATGGGGAACGCAAAGTTCGCCTGCTTCGAGAGAATGCAGTCGGGAGAAAGGACTTAAAATAGACTTTGGCACCTGAGTAAAAAGGGTATTTTTATAGATAAAATTAAAGACATTAGTTGACCGCATTCTCTCCTAACGGGTAATAATAAAGACTAAATGGTAGACAAGATAGACAGAAGAGGAGACCGACCGGGACCGTCGATCCTCTAGAAAATTTAAAACGAAGACTTAACGACGACGAAATTTTCGTTCGTCGCCGCACCACACTAATTTTTCTTCCTCGTCTTTCTCCTCCTTTTGACGACGCTTCCTCTCCCTTGGACGATGACGAAGGTCACGCGTTTCCTGTCACTGCTTCTTCTTCTTCTTCCTCCTCACCCTCCTCATCAGCGAGATCTTTCTTTCTCTTGCCCCTAACCCCAACCTTAATTCTACTTGCCCGAAGACTACGACGACAAACTCCGGACTTTTCTCGTTCGCGTTAACGATACTCTTTTGCACGCAGAACCGCTTCCGAAAATCGCGAAATCGCGGACAATTCCCGGGGTCCACGAAGCAACGCGGATGAATAGGTCGGGTCCGATGACTCCGACAAGCCGCTGCTTCTGTTCATCCCACGTGGGACATTCCGCCATCGTGCTCGACGACGTCCTCGGGTGCACCGCAAAACCAACACTTCGCCGTCTCCTCTCTGCCGATGCGCGCCAAGTATGAGCCGAACACGCCGTGACCCGTGAGAGCCTGAGAGAGCCGTTACGTCAAAACTCCGTGACCTCGCCGCACCCAGTTCCCACTCGGGACCAAGGGCGACGATGATTTCGCCGTCGTATCGTTTTCTCTCTATCAGAAATTTCTTTCTGAAACGCGCCTGCCACGTTCAGATCGTTCGATCGCGAAGTTTCCCGCGGAATTGAGCCCTCCTCGGCCCGACGCGAAGGCGTTCGTGATAGAGGACAAGGCTCTCTACCACGAGGAGATCGAGCGGGGAAGTGCCTGACAAAAGGCAAGCCACCTCCGTCGCGACGTCTCTGTACGCTGTTGCCACCTAGTCCAGAGACGCCCTTTGAAGTTGAATAGCCCTCTCGCGAAGCGGCCGGGATGCCGCCACCGATTCGGCCCATACCTGTGCTGCGTACAGGGCCACGGAGTAAACGACCGTCGCGAACACTCGCCTGACCCTCGCCCGCGGGCCGCGCGGGTTCGGCATCAGGCGTCCTAACGAAGCGCTCGCGGTTCGGATCTTCGATCCAAGGAGCGCGAGGTGTTGCCCGAAAGTGAGACCCGAGTTGAAAGCAACCCCCAAATATTTGAACGTTCGCCCCACCCCAATCCTGAACCCCCCAGACGACAGTACCAGTCCGTTGGGAAGCCGATTTCTCGGACGATAGAATCCGTAAGCTTCCGTTTTTGCAGAGACACCCGGTCGTCCGATGCCGCGGATGACCACAACGTCGCGAAAAGTCCCGATTCGGCGAGTTCGCGAACCTCTGCGCACCCGCAGCCGGTCGCGAGAAGCAGGGTGTTGTCCGCGTAGCAGATGAGAGAGCAACCTTCGGAAAGGACGGTAAGTCGTAAATGATATTCCAGAGGACCGGTCCGAGGACCGACCCCCGAGGCACGCCGCAAAAAACGTCCGCCGCTTCCGTCGTTCCGTCGGCTTCTCGTACGAAATCTTCCTCTCCGAGAGGAAGGACCCTATCAATGCAACGAGATAGTCGGGAACGGACTTCGACGTCAGTCCGTTCCTTATCGCGGACCACGAAAATGGAGTTAAAGACGTTTTTAACGTCGATGGAAATCGCGATCGCGACTCCGCCCCGGCGCAGAGTTTCCCTTATTTCGTCTCGAACTCGAACGAGCGCATCGATCGTGAACCGGCCCGCCCGGAAACCGTACTGATTCGGAGAGAGATCGTTTTTCCTCCGTCCGCCCCCATGCGAGTAATTATCCGCGACGCCACGACGCGCTCAAACAATTTACCCTCCGCGTCGAGAAGGCAAATCGGTCGACAAGCGCCCGGCGTCGACGGGTCCCTACCCGGTTTTTCGAGCAGCACGAGGTTCGCACGACTTCACTGCTTCGGAAACAATGCCTCCTCGAAACACGCGGTGTAGAGCAACGAAAGACGCGAACACAGCACCTCGGCAGATTTGCCGAGGATCCGATAATGCACACCGTTCCGCCTGGAGCCGTGCGCTTCTTGGAGGCCACGTCTAGGAGGATGCGAATCTTCCCCTCGGTGACTCCGTTGAAGGCGAAGTTCGCCTGAGGAAAAGCGTAGGGCGCGATGAGAGGGAAGAGCTCCGCGATCACTTTGGCGAGAAACTTCCCCGTCATACTGGCCGTCAGCGGCTCCAACGAACTCCGCAGCTTCTTCGTAACGATGCGGAACGGAAGACCCCTCGGATCCGAATTCACTTCGCTCAGGAGCTTCTTCCAACTCTCCTCCTTTGAACTCCATATCGCTCGGCGAA